CGCCACTGCCACACTTCAGGGCATACTTCATCCCCACCCGTCCACCTACCCTCGCATACCCCCTATGGCCTTTCTAAGTACCTCTGGGGGTACATACACCCAGTTGACAACGTTCTGTCTTCAAAGCATGTTTTATGTGTGGGAAATGAGCTTGCTAGTCAAAATGATTAGCTATGGTAATTGTGAACTCATCAATTTTGCAAATGCCTACGTAATTAATGGTGAAAGTCTGGATCTCTCTAATGCGAGTTGCTACATGTTTTAGCAGAGAAAGAATGTGCACCCTGGAAATTATGGGGGGGGGGGCATAATTTAACAGAAATGTACATTAGTGGAAACCTCTTCAATCCTGTTTACTTAGTTATAAGTTTAAATCTGAGTCATTTAATAAAATAACAAGCATTTTGCTGATGCTGTTCAAATGAAAGTAATGTGTCATTTAGTCCATCTTCAGCCATATTTATCAGTAAAAACAGTAGTGATTTATTTTGTCCGTCATATGCAGTTGTTTCACTTTTTGCATTCTTATTTTCATGCATTTATTTTTGCATTCCATAATATCTTTTTAGCTTTCGATTGTGCATGCAATACTCAGTGAAGCTAATATATTTTAATTAACTTTTCTTTGTTTTTTGCCTTCTTCAAGAGTATCAGCAATTGTTCTCCTTTTCTGATATGTGCAGATCAGAAGCTATGCTAATGAATGTATGTGTGATTTGTGAAATGCAATTTAATAATCCAGTAACGCTCCGTAAAATATGCGCTCCAGAAGCCTTGAAGCTAAAATGTTTACCACATTTGTGAGAAAATCTTAGTCTTTTGCAGCAAAACTTTACATTTCAAAACAGGGTGGCAAAATTCTGCCTGAGGAACACATTTTCATAAATGCCCTGTTCAAAGTCTCTACAAAAGTGGAAGACAGGGTGCAAAGGTAGTAATAACCTACCTTTTCTCTTCCACATTATTGGGTTGGCTGTTTGCTCTAAGGCTGCTTTCATTTGAATTGAGCAATAACACGAGAGTCCTGGTTATTCACAACTGGATTTGAAATCAATCAAGAGTGAGAATATTTCTGAAGTGCCACCATTTTCTGCTTCTGGCTGGAATGGTCACATTGTACAAACAGATTCACTTGTGGTATTTTAGCATTTCTACATTTTGGTCATAGGTATGAATCAGAAATGTTGGAGGAGATTAATAATAATAATATAATAATAATGTTTCTTATCACTATTATCATTTCATCATTATTATTAAGAGCAATGATGATGATAACAACAACAGCAACAACAGAACAAACTTCCAAAGTTTGCCAATATGTCAGTGAGATTTGTAAATCTTTGTTTTAGCTGATTAGCTGGGAAGCCAGCACTACTAGTTTCATGGAGTGGGCTTTTTGTGTGTTTATGTCTGTTTACTTAAAAGACTGTTATTTTACTGCCATAGTTAACATTGCACTAGGATTTGCATTTTAACAAGAGTGAAAACTGCTTATAACAAATCAGTCTTGAATTGGAAGATCAATTTTAAATGCTTATTGTAATTTAACTTTTAGAATTTTCTATAGCCAAGTATTGGTTATTTTTGCTGTTCCAATAAAAAGTCATTTATGACTTTAAATTATCCACTTTGTAGCAGGAAAGTTCAGTCTTACCATTGAGACCTTGAAAACTAGGTAGCGAAGAGGCTAGACTGGTGTACCAAGCTGCTGCTCTCAAGCAATTTTATTTTTTCAATAGAGAAAGGAGGTTGAGGGAATTGGGTGATATTTGTTAAGTATTACAGTGCTGCAGTACAAAATGGGATCAGTGTATTAAAGACCAGCAATATTGGGTTGTATATTAGTAAATATTGTCACATAATGTTTTACTGGCTTTCAGGATGCCCTTGTGGTTGGGAGATCACAGAAGTTGCTATCCCCCAGGCTAGGTACAGACATTCAAAAAGCCTGAGGCAGAATTGATGTAAGTTATGTGGTTTACGTTAAGCACTCTAGGTTAGATCAGGAGTAAAGAGAACACTTGTTCACCCTTTGGTGAGGGGGCCACGCAGGCTGTCTGCACTGACCAAGGCAGGCAGTTGGGGGCACTCCTGCATGCCTCCCAGCAGTCTCCCCGAGCTGCTGGACACTGCCAAATGCAGTTGAGCACGGCTGAGTGGCCGAGCCACCCCTGATTGGCTGCCGGGCGCACACACTTCCCCCTGCTGCCATGTCATCCATCAGCCACAGGCATCCATCAGCTGGAAGCAGCCAGTCCTGGGTTGGGGTATGGGTGCCCACCCCAGGTAGGACAGAAGTGGCGGGGGGCAGGAATGGGGCTCCCAAGCTGCTGAGGGGAGGCAGCCCCAGTGGCACACCTCACATTCCTGGCACAGGCTGGCGGGGCACAGAGTGTGTCGCCCCCCCCTCCCCCCCGTCCCGGTTCTGTCTGAGCCCCAGGACCCGTGCACTGGAGCAGATCTGAGAAGGGCTCAGAGAATTCTCCCTCACCCCCAGCCCTGGAGCCAGCACAGAGCTCTGGTTGAAGCCAGGAGGGATTGTTGGGGGGTTTGGCAGAGATAAAGATGGATCTTCAACTCTGCCCAGCCAGGTGAATCCAGGACCTAGAGCCAGACTGCAGTGCCAGGGGCCAGCAAAAGACCCCAGGAAAGGCTCTTGCCATGCACACTCGCACATACTCATTACACACTCCCCAAATCAGGGCATTGGCTCAGGACTCTCCACACTGCCACCATGCACTGCAGGGAGCTAGGAACCCATGAGATGTGTCATGGTGTCTCCAGGAGCAGGGTGGGAGGGGGCAAGCAGATGCCTGGAGCCCATGGCTGGTCAGGAAAGCACTCACCTGGCCCCAGCTGGGGTTTTGTCCTTTGTTCCACTGATTCACTCTATTCCCAGGTGCTTCTGATAAGAACATGCTGGAAACAGACTTGCCTGAGTCAAGCCAGCCCAGCCAACAGCAGTTAGCAGTCAAGTGGCAGACAGGGCTGGCAGAGAGGGCTGTTCACTCTGTTCCCCAGGCTGCAGCCCCTGTTCTTGCACTGGAATCACCCGTGACTCCCCTTCTTGCTTTCCCCAGGAACTGGAGCCCCACAGCTGCAGGGAAAGGAGCTTCAGCCTGTAACCTGGAGCTGGCTCAGGGGAGGTGGGGAAGAAACCTCCAAGCCTTTCCTGGGGCTCAGACAGAACTAGAACAGGGAAGGGACACTCTGTGCCTTGCCAACCTGTGCCAAAAATACAACATGCACCTCTGGCACCGCCTCCCCCCCAGCAACTCACAAGCCCTGCTTCCCCCTCTCCCACCTTTGTCCTGCCTGGGTCTGACATCTGGCCTGAGGCAGGAGATGGCCCACTAGGTGCTTGGCCAGAGCAGCTGAACGCAGGCTGAGTTCCAGTGCACCTCCCTGCAAGAGGGGGCTAGCAGGGCCACAAAGGAGCCTGCCTGGGATGCTGGCAGAAAGCAACCTAACTTAATTCGATAGGGGATCTGGTACAGAAATTTGATGCACCAGACTAACCTAATTCACATAAATTTGAATGCGCATCGATCCAGGATAATGTTAGACTGGGTTCCACTATTTTTACTCTGGTCTATTTGCCCCAAACTTCTGTATGATTATGGGTTTGGCTCAATTTCTAAGCATGTAGTCTCAATTATGTATAATGTCTGTACCTAGCCCTAGCCACAGGGGGCACAAGCTATATGTGCTGATTAAAGCTGGATAGAAATCAGGTGTCAAGTTATTACACATTTTCAGGCAATAACTTTATAGCTGGTAGGACTTTTTAAGGTGCCATAGTTAATTTGTATGTGTAGCCAGTCTAAATTAATGTCACAATTAACGAGGTAATTGAATAACAGATATAGCATGTAGATGGGACCTTGGTGTCACATACCAGCAGGTGTGAATTGGAGAGGTATGCTGCACATCAGTAGAGATGTTGGAGAGGGAAAACAGGTCTGCCGGCTCTTGCAGTTGCTCTTGGTTACATTGCATCTTCTTTCCCAAAACTGCTGGAGAGTCTGTCATGTTTCAGGAAGTGAGTGACTATGCAATTCTTCATGGAGGGTCCCTCAAGCTGGCAGGTTATTTCATTGCTGCTAAATGTGGTTGGTTGCAGTTGACAGTGACTTTCAGTAACTTTTCAGTCTGACAAATGGTTACAGCCAAAATCCTCTTAAGACACATCACAGTCTTTCATATCCTTCAGAAGTCTTGACACAGTCCAGAATATTTTAAGTTCCTTTAATTTTATTGACTATTTTTTTCCATTAAAGCAATTGCCTGCTTTTTTCTTACTCAAGCGTAGTGTTATTCCAAAGGGAAGTATGGATGTACAACAAGGCAAAGAAATAAGATTTGAACACCAGATTTAAACAACAGTGTGCTTAGAAAATAAAATAAAACACTTCTTCTTTTAAACTTAATCCTATGTAATTGTTGCATTAAATCTTGAGTGGGTTGTTGCCCTGGAACTGTTTTCAACAGAATTCAGAGATTATTTATAAGTTATGTTCCTGATTTTGCTATCTAAATTTTATGTTTTACATATGTACAAATAAACAATTTATACTGGCGTGTAAACTATATGAATTTAAAATGAAACATAAACATACAGCTATTGTCAATATTTCAAATCCTATAAAGAGGTCTAAATTATGTATGATTAATTATTATAATTACGTGACTTTGTGCATATTGAAGCCTCTAGTGTTGGGTTGGATAAAATTGTGTGGTTGTGTAATCAGAGCAAAGGAGCAGGTATGTTAAGGCTCCTAATTGAAATTCTTCCTGATTCTCACCATATGACCTGTGGCAAATTGTTTAATCTCTTCTGCTTTGTGAACACATCTGTAAGTTAGGTAAAGCCTCACTGAAAAGCTCTAGATTTCCTGGGGATATACACTTATCTCCAAACTAAATGTTTTTAATGGTATGGCAGAAATTGTACACAGTTCCCCAACTTTAAACTATTGCTTTTCTCTCTTTTTAGTGAGTGACAGTTGCTTCAGGAATCTTGCTGAGGATCGTAGTGGGATAAACCTTAAAGATCTGGTTCAAGATCCTTCTTTGTGAGTATCTGGGGTTTTTTTACAGCTAAGCATAGAAAGCCTCCTCATGATCACTTGTTTCTGGAATTTTAATTAGGTACAGATTTTAGTTATGATGCTGGAAATTTTGTTTAGTGGCAGCTTGTGCGCCATGTGCTGGGTCTGTAATACCAGCAGATGTGACCAGAACCATACCTTGTCTTTCACAGTGGAGGTAGGGGAAAAGGAATGGCTTCATTCATGATTTTATTCCCAAGGAGCACAGATAATAGACAATACTGTGTCAGCATAAGAATGGGATCAGAGGGAAAATAGTCTGAGAATATTACTGATTTAAAAAAGATTGTGCCCATCTTTCTCTTCCCTCTTGGTTTGTAGGCTGATTATATTATCAAACTAGATATGAATATCCTGATTACAAGTTTATTCTCAGTTTTCTTAGGAGTTCCTCTTCATATATTTTTAAAACTCCTCTTTTCTTCAGTATTTCTTCTTTCATGCTAAATAAAATGTTGGTAACTTCTGTTCTGACTAGGAAAAATGTCAGCTACTGCCCCTCATGTCATGAAATAGACACAGTCATCGGAAGTCTGAGCAAGAGACTGCAGAAGCATAAAGGTTTATGAGTATGCCTTATAATTGTACTTACCTAGTGCAGTCATCTTTCCATTTATTTCTAGTTCATCATGTAAACATAAGTTGTCCTTACAAGTCCAGAACTAGGAAATGGAGCCATGTTTAACATCGGGTCAAACATGACTTTTCCTAGGTTCCTCTTTAACTAATGTTGAAAATGTTTTCCCCACTGATGTAGGCTGTCAATCACGTTCAACACCTGCTATTAGAAAATGTAGTCCCCTCTCTTATGGATTGTGCCTTGTACACTGGATGTTGATCATATTTGGCCTTGTTTATAACAGCAGGGCATCAGAGTTCAATCCTGGTCAAGTATTAGCAAAGAGGAGGGCATATCTGATCTCTAATGTCTGTTCAAGCATGGAAGATTAATAGTCGATGCAGGCTAACAGTTCCATTTTTACTAGAGTAAAGAAATCACATACAAGTCTTGAATTTGCAGATTGAAAGAACAGGCTTATAATATATTTGATGTTTGATAATCAGTTTCACAAAAAAGTATAAAGAGGAAAAGATGACAAGTATGTTCATTACCTGAGGTTAGAATGGTTAGAATCAGGAGTCATGATCTTCAAAAATGATTAGATCAACGGTTCCCAAACTCTGACAGATTGCGCACCACCAATTTAAAACGATACAACATAAAGTAATTATAATAAATCTGTTAACATGTACCACTGACAGGTTGTCTGCGTACCACTGGTAGTACCCATACCACATATTGGGAACCATTGGATTAGATATTTTAGTTTAGCTTTTGGTTTGGGTGTCCAGTTTAGGACCACTTCAGGAATCTCTTTATCAGTCTGATTGCTTTGTGCTTTATTGATTCTGGAGAATTTTACCTGCTGTTACAACAGGCAAGTTTGATTTCCAGAACTGTACCTAGCAAGAATCTTTGAAGAGTTAAATATAACTGGAGGCCTGTGGTAGGGATTCCTTACAAGGGATGGTGACTTTTGCTTATTGTGGAGTATCAGATTTGCTTTTTATTACCTCCAAAGTAATGAAATTCCTTCCTTGCCCATAACCTATATGAAAAAAATTGTAATCCATTAGTTTGTTTAATCTACGGAAATAAAATGCAACTCTGTTTCTGTAGCATAAGAAGCAATAAGTGGCTACTGTGATTGATTAAAATGTGAGAGGATCTGAAGGATTGTATTGATGTTAATCTTAAAATATCCATTACTTCCTCAGAGATAATATTCAGGACATCTCTTGTATGGCAAACTATATTACAAGGGGGGAAATGTATTTTTCCCTCTTAAGAATATGAATATGTTATACTGTTTCTTTGGCTTTTCTAATGGATACTCTTAAGAGGTGAAAATGCATACTGAGTAACTGTATAAGAGCAGTTCTCATAAAATGTGTAATTGTGTGAGGGTATGGCCAGTATGAACACTTAAGGAGTGTTTTTGCACATGATGCCAAAAAAATCTGTCCTTTTGTAAGGGGAAATGCAAGCTAGCTATTGAAGCCAAATTTTTGTCTGCCTTCTGCTACCAGAGCAGTGCAAAAGGACATAGAAGAGACAAAAGTCAGTTCTACAATGTTAATAAAGGAGTTGAACCTAACATTTTTGTTAGGAGAATAGTATTTAATTAAATTCTGAAGAGCAGGTGACTGAAATTATTTTTATATGGTGTCATGTTGAATAGCAGCACTGTGACTGCTTTATTTCTTTCCATTAAGTTTCTTTGTCTCTGTCATGTATGACATTAGAATAAAAGACAATTAGGTAAAATTTTCCCAGTGCTTAACTTAGAAATTGCTGACCTGCCAACAGATTCCAGTACACCTCTTATATGTCACAAGTAAAACAGAAAACTCAAGAGAATTTAAGTTTATTAATTTATATTACTATTGATCACTTGTATATAGTGTTAATATTTGAATTGACATTATCCTCATATGATGTAGGTTCTGGATAAAAGGTGGTAGAGATGGGTTATAATACTCTTGCCACCTGACTTGAAATAAGGTTTTCTTTTGCACCAAACCAGCATCATGTGATATAAAATGTTTATGTCAAATACTTTCCATCTCCTGCATGTGGTTCAGTTGCTTTAACTATTTTTTCAACGATACAGTCATTTGTCATTTTAGCTCCTGTCCCAGGTCTAATTTTTAATTTTGTTACCAAATAGAAGGTTATTCTATTCTGTAAAATTGTGATTCTACCCTGAAAAAGGACCCTGTACACTTAGGGTTTGGGGGTTCTATCTTTAGCACCTGAGTGATATTGTATCAAATATACTGAAGTACCAGTAAAGGATCATTAGCGACGCTATTAATTCAAGCAGTGGTCTGATAAATAATATTCTTTCCTTGTCCCACAACATTATCAGAGTATAGGTTCACTTGGCCAGATTTTTCCATCAGTCGCTCTTAAATATTTGTGCTGTTTTGTAATGTACAAGTTCCAGGTCAATTGCCCTGAAAATGTAAATCAATAACATTTTCATTAATAATACACTGAAGTCAATCATATCAAATGGAAAAATCGAGAGTTATAGGGTAGGAAGCTGTATGGTAGAAAAATATATCTTTTGATAGACTCTCTGATCCTTTGATGAAGTTGCAATTCCCAAGAAGTCCTCTGAAAAAGACAGTTTTACATACTACTCTACTGTGTGAAATCCCTGTCTCTGGGGCAAGAGAAAAAGAGAAGATTAAAAATTGCCTCAGAAATCTGCCTATAAAGTTTCCTCAAATCCCAGACAGGTGTCTTTTGAAATACCAAAACAGAGCAGTATAAGAAACTTCATGCCCTCAAAAAAGAAAATAGCTAAGATTACATTATTGTCTCCAAACATTTCAGTAGCAATACATTCTTAGTCTCCACTGGTATGGTTTTTTTGATACTAGCAAATTATCATATTTACCCAAATCCAAGATGACCCTGAAATTCAGATGACCCCCTGATAATTAGATTGTATCCATGGAAAATGTATAAATGTGTTATAATTTTCCATGGATAGAATCACATTTTTGGAGGATTATCTTAAATTCTACCCCCTTCTACCCCTCTCCCACTGAAGTGGGGAAAGAAGTGGTAAAGGGCAGGTGGTGGGGAAAGCAGTAAAAGGGCAGGTGGTGGGAGAGGCAGTGGGGGCATGCAAATAGGGCATCTGGTGGGGAGGCAGTGCAGGGGCAGGTGATGGGGGGCAGTGCAGGACAGGCTGTAGTAGTGCAGATGGTAGGGCACAGGCAGTATGGAGGCAGAGGGGTAGTCTGCCTTTTGTCCCACAACCTCAGGCCCCTGTCTGTCCCTCTATAGTCTTGGTCCCCCTCCCCTCCCCTCCCCTCCTTCCCCCTATCTCCCACCCAGGCAGCTTCTGCCCCACCCCAACTACAGCATCTGTCCCCACATCCACTGCTGCTTTCCCTTGCTCTGGCACTGGCAGACTTCATCCCCACTCCAACCTGGGGCACAGGACACAGCTCCAGCCTGGCCCTATAGCAGCAGTGCCAGCTCCACATTAATGCTATGGGGCCATGCTCTGTGTCCTAGGTTGGAGGAGGGGCAGCAGGGGGCAGAAGATGTTCTCAGGGAAGTAAGGGAGCCTGGGGGGCAGATAGAGGATCAATGTGGAAGGGGGAGAGGGCAAGGTTGCAGGGAGGGACAGGCAGCTTCAAGTCACTCAGCTTCAAGATGCACGGAAAAGTTATCTTTGGTACTGGTACTTTTTTTTCTTTACTGTACTAGAAATTTTTTTCATGTCAAATTTCCCAGAATCTCCCATTTTAAATTAACATTCTAGACTTACTAGATCAGTACGAGGCACCGATGACAGACACATGCTGGAAAACTATTTTTTTGCCACGTGAGAGATTCTCACACAATATCTATGGACTTCATCGCACAGAAGATTTTGGTATTTCTGTTTCTTTCCTTATTTTTATTTCTTCTGAACAGATGGAGAGAGAATAGAAAGAAAGAGTTTAAAAATAAATTAAATCTCTAATAGGAGGCAAGTCAAGTCAAAGTGTCTGCTGATCTCAGCATGTTGAATAGAACACACACACATTTGAACATTCATAGTAAACATGTACATAACATCTACATAACATGTACATAACATCTACAATGATATCTCATTTCCAAAGTTCTGTTAAAAAGTCTGTGCTGGTAAGAGAAAAAAATAATTGCAGTGTATTACTGAACTGAAGAGAATTAATAGATGGCCCAGAAACAAACCTGTCTTTATGTCTAGGAACAGACATTCAAAAAGCCTGAGCCTGAATTGATTCAGTCTTTGCAAGTTAGTGTAACCTGCCTGTCGGGCTGCCACCATCTAAAGTGTGCCCTTGCGCCTGATGGACATTCACCTGTCTTCTCCCACTCATTGTAACCCTCTGCCAGCCTGCTCAGGGTG